GAACACGATCCCAACGTCTAGGGCAGGGTTTGTCAGTCGTAGCCCTACTGATGAGTCTGGCTGACAATCCCGAGACGAAACGTGTTTTTCGTGCACCATCGTATCTCGAGTGAACGGTTAGGGATTAAGAGCAAGAGAAACCTAGTTCTCGAACCCGTGTTCCCCGGAATCCGGACGTGACGCGACGAATTGGTGACAACGAGACATCGATGAGAGGAAATTCGTCTCTCCTTCCTCGTCGTCTCTCTTCTGCCAACGAATTTCTTTAACGAACTCGATCAGATAATTTTCTGTCAACGTCTAGGGCAGGGGNTTTTTTTTTTTTTTTTTTTTTTTGTTTCAGTTATCGAACGAGGTAACGTACGCCGAACTGTGCCTGTCACGGCCAACGGCATTGTCGACTTTGGCAACCGACACCAAGTTGACAGGTATCGTAAGCGGAATCGGGAGTTTAAGCACCCTGGAGGGTTATGGAAAACCGTGCACCAGAGAAACGACGATTTACGCTTGTATAGATCACAATACGAGGTCGTTAAAAGGCGATCCCTCGCCGCCTCCTTTGCCGTTCACATTGGCGCCACTATCGACGAGAAGTACGTTCCAAGACTGTAACGTATCGACCATGAGTGGCAAACATCCGACCAGAGAGGTTGTCACCGTGCGTACACCCTTGATATCGACCCAAGAGAGTTGCGTATAGGGATGCGATTCCGACGCGCTAAATATCAACGAGTACTACGTTTGATCGTGTGATCAATCTGCGCGTCTAGTTACGAAATTTATGGTTATTTCTTTAACCATTTGTCCTACCATGATGAAAATCTACCACGCACACGCACACACGTACACACATATACAGAGAAGGATACATACATACATACATACATGCATACTCGTGTATATATGCTATTTAATACCTATAGGATAAGCGTGTAAAGTAGTTAATAAAATCAATGTCAAGTGGACTGATCAATCGTTAATTGTCGAATATTAATTGTGAAACAAAGTAGAGAATAAATACGAAGGAACAATGAATCGTCTTAATCGTATTTAATGATAAGAGCGTGATATTATTGTTAATCCACAAATTGTTCAAGGATATTGATCGGTTACATTGAAATTTGTTCAATAAGACTGATTTGAAATTTGCGAGCGCTCCACACTTATTCCACTAAAGAACTAAAAAACTGTTTTTTGCTGCTATTAAAAATGCGAGAAAAAGAAAAAAAGGAAAAGGAAGAAAAAGTGTCAAATAAGTTGCGGCCGCATGATTTCAGGATATTTAATAAACGAATGACGATCGTTTCGTACGTACGTAAAATCTTTTTTCACGGTATTATTGTAAGTTTTACAAGCGCAAAAATTGCGTAAGAAACGTGATTTAGAAATTATTTTTCAACTTAATTGTGCGTGATATATTTTGAACTACGGAACGCGTAGATAATCCAACATCACAATCTTTTTTTCGATATTCCACAAACACAAACACGCGCAACACCATTGATAATATTCGTTTCGCTTCGAATGATTTTACTCGATAAAATTTCTTGTATGAAACTTTTCGTTACTCTTAAAGGAGACTGTGATGTTGAGATAAACGACCAGAGGATTAGGACCAGTTTAATTTTTCTCTCTTATATATTTGTTAATTAATAAATCGATTAGAACTAGTCTATCGGTAATCGAAAATGAGTAAAGTTTCTTCTTTATTTCTTATAGAGAAACATAGGAATTCCAGGTTGTTCGGTCTAACAAATGTGTAAATATTTTATACCTAATAAAACTTTCTTCCCCATTTTTTGATAACTTGATGATTTCGTAAATGTCTATCCCTTCCATGATACAAGTATAATCCATAGTTTTTTAATAATTTTTCTTGCATTTTAATCAATTTAATAAATTGTAGAATCGTAGAATCAAATTCTATCTTTCTCGTCTTTCCATTTAAAATTATAAAACTTTTTCTTTTTGAAAAACTTATTTTCGGATTTTTCTACTTTATTGATATTAAAATTTTATTTCTACATTCTGATTTTATCCGTTCTCCCTGTATGCAAAAAACGTACAGAATAAAATATCAGGATTGTGTCGATACAGATAATGCAGGTAACTGTGTAGTACTCGATACAAAAATTATTATTCATATCGTTCCTATTGTTATTTTTTCCCTTCGAAAATACATTACATTAATCTCATAAATGAATATTGTGTATGGAAACAAGTATTATGGGAATGTTTTTATTTGATGCAATATACTTAAGTGTACATAACACAATTATCGATTAAATTCATTTTATAAAACTTAAAGTATTAAATATCAAATTGCAAATATGTTTGTATATTTGAGTAATTTATTTCGAGCTCGCGTGGAAAAACGAGGTGCCGTTATAAAGATAAATTACACGTACCTTGGAGAAGTAGTATCTCTATTTCGAATGTAGAAACTTAAAACAGGAAAAAAAAAATTTATTTACAAATAATATTATTAAAATATATTAAAATCCACGATATATATATATATATATAAGTTATACAATGGAAGTTTCGCGTCTTCGTCAATAACTCGTTGTTTTCAATAAAACATCCATATGCAAAGTATTTACTATTCTTTGGTGTATTCCTACATTTCACTTACAATCCATACAAAGTGATTCTTAATAGTTACGATCATTTCGGTGCATAATTATTAAAATCACGTGCATATTTTTTTATAAACACTATACTATAATATACTTACTTACTCGATAATATCCTTTCTTTCTAATAAATTAAGGACAAAAAGAATGAGACGTCGATAAAAATACGAGACATATTGTACAATTATTTTATAAAATATTGCAAACGATATCTGGACGGAAATTAACTTCTAATCTACGTTACGTAACAAATATATCAATTAATCGTTTTTACTTAAGCTAAAAAAATTCATTCGTATTTTTCATTTATAAATCATTACGGCCATTACGGTACGCAACAGTACGCGAGTATAATTTTTTTTTGGAAAAAAAAAAATTCAATTTGTCAACGATTAATTCACATATTAGGCTTCTATGACGACACACATACATATGTAAATATATATAACCTTGCACAATTACGATCTCATCTCAGAAAAGTATTACAAATTGCAAACAATTTTCCGACATCTTCTTTTTTTTTTTTTTTTTTTTTTTTTCCTTTTCATATCATTTATTGGAATCTATTCGTCGTTACATAATTTCTCACTGTATTATCGGTTTAACAATTATTTGTCTTTCTTTTGATTATTTCACGTTTATAACATTACTTATTTCATCGATTCACAAAACATTGATAAATAAATTGTAAATTGTCGGAGAGTGACATCGTATTTTATTGAATCGTATTTTATTATTGTCTGCAACGTATGACAATTTTCCGGAATAATATCAAGAATTAAAATAATAATAACTTTTTTTGCGGATAATACTTATAAGGCACTTTGTATTTTATTACTTTAAAGCAGGAATACGAAATATACTCTGCACGAATTAATCGAGTTGGCAAATGTACGATATCATAAATATTTATTTTTTTTTTTTTTTATTTCGAAGGCACACTGCAAATTACTGTGTCACAAATATTATAATTGCTTTTCAGTACACAGTATTATTAACTTATCGATTTATTAAAATTTTTGTCTATATATATATATATATATATGTATACATATATAATATGTTCAGTCAAGTAATAAGCAAAAATTATGTTTCCGTATTAACAAATATTTCAACAGTAATAATTATTGCTGAATAAGTAAATATCATTTTTTTTAAATTAACTTAAAATAATTGAAACATTTTATATACATTTCGATTAATATCTTTTTTCAATTTTTCTGCTCTCCTCTGAAATTTATTATCGATCAACGTGCAAATAATTAATTTAAATGAATTGGAGAAAATAATATATTTCTTCATTTTTCCATATACTATTTTTTAAAAAAATTGAAATTGATTAATGCAATGTCTAGATATAATAAATTAAATCGAAACTGAACTTTTATGACTAAAATTTGATTATTTATCCAGAAAAAGGCATTACCAGTTATCCTGTGTATTTAATGATTTAAATATACAATTTCGATTCGTGTACACGATTTATATTCCTATAACTCGTAAAGTAACCAATAAAGTATTTCTAAAACAGATAGAAATTTTTTAGGCTAAATAAGGATAAATAAATTTGACAATCGTTACAAAGATGAAAACAAAATTCAAAAAAAAAAAATCTAACTCATTTTGCACAAAGTTAGAAAAATTATTAAGCAAGAAAATTCGAAATCCAATTGATTATTCTCTACAATTCCAACGATCGATTAAAAAATAAACACGGAAAAATAAACACATTGGCCAAAAGATCGCGCAGCATTGTCGATTAAAATAACGGATTATTCCATTGCCTGTGTGCCCTGGTTTGCTGTATCATTTTCCCAACGTTATGCTATGCACAGTAGCGAAGTTTTATTTCGATCAGCCATCGATACGTTTCACAACGATATTTACTTTAAACTTTTCCAGATGATGTATTAGAAATTATTTCCATTGGATTACAAATATTGTAAATCATTGAATACACAGATTTTTGTAAAGTTGGTTCCAGTTTTTTATATATTATATATATATATATATTTAAATTCGTTTCACATCGAGGAAAAGCTTTGGAAATTTACGTGAGTCGGTCAATAAGTAAATTACTCCCCTTTCCTGTCTCCTTCTAATATAATAGAAAAAAAATATATCACTAAAAAAAAACTTACATTCGAATTATTAATTCTCAAGGAATCTTTAAACAATTTTGTGTCCCGATATTATTTTAACCTTGCATTCCGAGGGATAAAACGGTAAGAATAATTTGTTTTTCTTCCGTAGAATCTCGTATCGAATCTTGGATCGATTTGGATGCAATTGAAATATTTCCTCTACATCGACAACGAACGTTGCATCTATGTTGTAGCTATTTAAGAAAAATTTTTCTGTTTTTATCTTCAGAGCGCGTTAAGTTAGAAAACAAATAACTTACTTATCGGCCGAGCTGCAATTTGTTCCGGGTAAATGAGAAGTCGAGGAAGTTAAACGTAAGTAAATGTGTTTGAATTTGCATAAATAGGAGAGGCTCAGAAAACCTTCTTACAGGGTGTCGAGAAGGGAATCTAAGAGATCCAATTGATTCTCGTCCCAACCGGCGGTAGCGATTAACAAACCGGTTAGATCATCCTCGCTTAAACTGACTTGCGTAGAGTCAGGAATTTCTGAGAGACAATCCGGAATCGGAGGAGATACGCTACTGGGCGGAGTCTCGTACAAGGTAGAGGAACAATTGATCGATGGAGCACCATTGCTTTGTGCATCGTTCGTTACCGTTGTTTTTCCAGACGTTAATTTCTTCGATCCGCGAATTCGTTGGGACATGGTTGCCCGCCGTTTCGATTTTCTACCTTCTTCCATTCTCTCCAAATCTAATTTCCAGAAACCGCCCTTGCCTGGCTCATCTTTCGAACGTGGTAATTTGACGAAACATTTATTCAACGATAGGTTGTGTCGAATTGAATTCTGTTCGAAATAAAAGAAAGAGTTAAAAAAAAAGTTAATTGATATCTATGTAAAAAAAAAAGAAAAAAAAGAAAAAATTACGAAGATTTCGTTCGTAAGATATTTTAAAAATATTGTAATGGCGCGTTACAAATAATAATAGGTAATGGAAAATTTATACACACCTGCCAAGCAGGATCGGCATATTTGTAAAATAAGAAATTTTCTCGAATCCATGCGTATATGTTTGAGAGAGACACTTTGTTATTATTCGCACGCATCGCCAGGCAAATGATGGTGGCGTATGAAAATGGCGGTTTTGCGTCAGGATCAGTTCGATATTTGTCGGCATTTGCAGCTAGATCTAAACAAAAATCAACGAAACGTTCATTTACATGGAATATTTTTACACATGTACGATCTAAGAATGGATATATATAATAAAAAATGAACAAAAAAAATTATTTTTCTTTTATATATATATATATATTTTTAATAACGAAGAAAAAGATAAATTACTGAATAATAATCGAAAGAATATTAAATTGATATGAATGAATAGATTTGATGTATATTTTGTTTTTAATCATATGATGATATGATCATAATATTCAACGAAGAAATAAGAAACGACTTGAAATTTATTAATTATAACATTAAAAAATATATGATTGGACTAACTATCGAATTTGAATTCGAAAGAAACAAGATTTTATGCGCATTAACTTAATATTATTTAACATTATTAGATCAACATTTAGTCTATTATTTTAAATGAATATTTAACATTCACGCGTTTAACATTTTTTTTAATGATCGAAGAATCGAAAGTCGAAAGAAAATGAAAAAAATGATTCGAACGAAATGATTTACCTAATTCGGCCTTAATCAAGGGTGAAAGCTTTTTCCTTGGTTGTCGCGTCACTGGTGGTGGAGATGGAGAACAAGGAGGCGTTGGCAAACTAGAAGCACTCGTAATGTCGAGCGATTGTAACCACGAAAGACTGGTCAATTCCGCTTCGACATCGCAATCGTCATTATGCATATTTTCCTTCATACTCGGTGAGTCACGATTCATTCGTTTCTCAACATCGATCGATTCTCCCTTCATTTTCACCATTTTTCATCGCATAAGTATCGAACGAACAATGCTACGTATCTAGATAAAAACAACGAAAATTATTACGTTATCTTCAACAAATTATTACTTGAATTATCTTATTACGTATAGAAAAAGGTGTTCAAACGTTTATTCAAATTAAAATACATTCCTATATTCTAAATCGTAATCGCATGCATATATTTACCTATACGATAATAGACAATGAAATGGATTATCTATATTGTTATGTAGATTTTCCAAAAATTAATTGCAGTTTTGAATGATCTAATATTTAGTTTTGTTATAAATTTTTTAAATTTCTAATTGTTTTATGATATTAGATATTTATTATTCGCTCGAATATCAAAAGTACTATACATGATATGATATATACGTTGTTTTGTAATTAAGAATTCAATTAATTACAATTGTAAATATTAAAAGTATATCGAATAAATATTTATATAAAAATTTCATTACTCTTAATCCAGTGATAAATCTAACAGATAAATCTACATTTGCAAGAAAATGGAATATTCGTCTAATTATTAACAATTAATGATAGGATATTGCGTTCCAAATAACTTTTGGAAATAGAATTAATCATTTTTTATAATATCGTTCGAATAAGAATCATAAATATCGACATTTTTTTCATTAGAATAGAAAAGCGAAAATTTTGTCTTCTTTTTTTTTTCTTTTTTTAAGGAATTCCATCGATAGAGGCAATTTGGTGCATTGAAATTCTACCGTCTCCTAATATCGTGACTGAGAACAATTACGGTAAATTGTGAAATTTAAACGAAATCGAGAGACAGAGAAAGGGGGGCGAAGGAAAATAATTTGGTTGAAAAATTGAACGAATCACAACACACACCTCAAAACATTTTTAATATCGGCACGTCCGAAGGTAAAAGGTAAAAGATCGTTCACTTTCGGTTGAACATTTACGCCGGTTAATAAAAAAACTTGAAAATGCGAACACGATTACGATTCGTTACATCACGTATGCACATTTTCATCGGTGTATAATAAAAAACATGTAAACCGCATGATCGTTGGAATGAAACTAGTACCAAGGGGTAACGAAAGCTCTGATAATCCCCCCACTTTGAATCTACCTGGTTGCCGTAAACCATTGGCCGTGGTTTGTGTGCGTGACAGGTGTTGGACTCCCTCTTGCAGGTGGACCGTATGTACACG